TAGTTTGCGTTGCACATCAAATTTCAATTTCCGTAAAATTTGTTATGCAAAATCATGGAAGTAATATGAAATGCATCTAAATTTTTTAGTTTATTTTTGTTGGGAAAATACTGCAGTTTGCTCTTCTCTTCCAATAAATATAAAACCAAAACTAACAGGATGGCGCTGGCTCGTCAAAGTAAAGCGAATGTATGGCCACCATTTCGTGCCGCTACATAATTATGTGCCTCTTCCAACTATGCCGGTTCAGAAAAGCTGAAGCCTCTTGCGACAAATGGGGTGTATTTTATATGCTGCAGTGTAATTTATAGAACGAATTCACTGCCCTGCGCTGCTGCTTTAGATTCTGTGTGACTGCACATATGGTAAGTGGGGCATATCTGGAAATACTGCGTGTGAAAATGTGCAATAAATCAACTCAAATGCGTGGGAGCATACGCTTTTGACAACAAAATGACGATTTATTGAACAAATAAGTAAAAATGCATACAAGCGCACCTTGTACTTCATCACTTTGATTGTCTGAATTTATTTCTGTTTTTTTTTTTTGGATATTTAATCTGACATTCAAGTAAGAAAATAATATTTGATGAATTTGAGAGAAAGTAGTGAATACTTAAATTAAGTGGGTTTTACCAAACAGACTTGGAACTTCAACTTCAGTTCGATCAAAATGGTGCTTTGGGTTATAATACAAATAATATAATATTCATAATAATATTATACTAAATAAAGAAACTATCCTTAAACTGTTATTGGATGATGTACAAAAAAAGTTAACTATTGAAGATAATAAATAATTTTTTCTGAACTTAAAGGTTTTCACAATTTTATGCATAACTTTTTACAGAAAGAAATTAAGGCTATGTCTTTAAATAATAATTTAAAAGCATTCTATAAAAACCTCTTTTTAAGAATATTTCATTTTTAACTATCATTTTCAACGCCACTATAAAAAAAGATGATTTCTTTAGATCTTTAGGTACTACATTTATATCAATTGAGTATTTAATCTTCTTGAAGTCACAATTTTCAGAAATTTTTATCTATCCAATAGCAATACATTCCAGAATTAAAGAACGCTTATTGCCTTTAACGCTTGTTATATCATTTTGTATTACCAACATCTAACAGAAACTCCTAAACCACAATGGTTTTTCTAGAGTTTAACTAAGGTTTTAAGACCAGAGCCTAAACAAGAATTATAATTTAAAAAACATAACATACTCGTCAAAAAACCTCATTATTAAATAAATTCACATTTAATAGATATTGCCCTATATATCATATATATTAATATGTCAATATCATTCATTAAGGATATCAAAGAGTACAACTTAATTGCCTGTAAGAGTGCAACGTGTCTTATAAACTCAACTGTAAGAACGGCATTGAAACGAAAAATTTACAACCTTAAAATATCAAATTCTTCAAATTATTAATTATTTCTATTTTTGGTTTTTAAAGTTTTCGAAATATATGGTATATGAACAACATATAAGCAGAAATATTTAATATTACTTGAGTGTTTCTGTAGCAACGCAAGATTTTCTTATTGAGAACACATCACAAAGTTTGTTCTTGTGACGTGAACACGGAAAATTCAATATCGATTTTGTGCTCCTCTGAGGTTTAAAATGCTTCCTTAATTACTTACTGACATATAAGTCCTTTGAAGTATTATGGGTTGTTCAGAGGATGTGTTATGAATTGCCTCAAAGGCGTTACAATGTAACGAAGCAACTGAGAGGACATGCAAATGACAGCGCTAAATACATGCAATTTTAATGAAAGCGATATGGTACGGAAGATATAGCACAAATTTCAACTGCATCTAATGAAGTTATCTACAGTTGCTAATAATAATTATGAAATAACGTAATGCTTATATTTTTCTATAACAATTTACTTAACACTCTGTAATCAACGATACAAAGATGCGAACTAGCACGTGTAATGTAAATGACTTCTAAGTAGAATAAATAATGAATTTTAGTTATTTTGTGACATGATAACATAATATCATGTTTATGTTTCTACGAATTCGGTGTAAAATATTTTATATTCTACTGCGCAAAGTTGATGGAGAATAATAAATTACATCAACTAATGATCCATGTTACACACTCCATAAATCGTGTCAAGTTTTTGCTTATTAAATTGAAACAATGCGAGAACTTTCAATTACTGGCAAAAAGTTATGGCTTCTTATAATTAAAGCCTTTGTTTGCGAAATATGAGTGGGATGATAATCTTATTAGCATCCACACAGCAACACCCTTGGAATAATGATGCCTTTAAGTGAAGAATGATATTAATGAAAGTGACTTGAAGTAATTGCATCTGAAAACTAATATCGTGTATGGAAGATAATTAATTAGATGCCTGAATTGAATATAATAAACATGTATACTCATACGCTTACACATATAATATAAGATCAATTCAGTAAAACAGTGAATAATGTAGGAGATTTACTAGGAGTATTGAAAATTGTTTCATTTTGCTATCATAAAAATTTATTATATGCATACCGTCGTGGTAATTAAAAAATAATAACAATGCAATTAATAACTATAATAATGACAATATTAGCTACAGAATATTAATTAAGTTTTATGCTATTCACACAGCACAAGTAGTTGTACTCCTACTCGTTCAGCCCACTTCGTTAAAAACCTGTTCACACACACAAGGCTTTATTTATCTTAATTTTGGAATATTCTTTTTATATAATAATTGCACTCGTGTATGTAAATGAGAGGAGTGCAAATGCGGGAATATTTTATTTTGTTTTTTGCTATAGTTTAGTAGAATTGTTCACAATTTCGCTACACAAATATATTATTGTGAATTGTGAACTTAATTTTAACTTCATTATAAACAAATTACAATTTAATATTTATATCGGATTTTTGGACTTTTGTATGCAAAGAGGGCCAAAGGCTCCCAAATTAATCGAAAAACTGTGTATATGTCTACTTATTATAAATGTATCATGACACCCTCGAATAAAAAACAAAACTGTAGTTGATCCAGCATTTTAATTGAAACATTTTTTGGTTTTATCAATATTCTGGTTTTATCAATATACACCATGGGTTCAGTTTAATGGGTTAAGTATTTCTCCAAATATATCGTTTTTTTAATTTTTTTCAACTTATTTTTAATTGAATTTTGAATGTTGTTTTTTAAGGATATATTGACCTGAAAGTTAGTGTATAAACAGTCTATAGTTTATACTTAAGACGTATCAATTCCTAATTTTTAATTCAAAATTATATACATATAAACAATAAAGCAATTAGTTGTTTCCAAAGATCACTGAGTGTGAATATTTAGGGTATTCGAAGTAATGGTCAGCCTAAAAATTAATTTGATTAAAAGTTAAATGTTGGAATTTAAAAATTTTCATTATATTACCAACACTTCTGCTGTAAAAATAGTAAGAAAAATAGTTGATAATAGTAAGAAATAAGAATATATATAAATATATATATATATACATTATTCCTAAAAGTAAAAACATAAAATTTTAAAAATAATTTTACTGTTCGCCACACATTGAAGTCGAAGTTTTCCAGTTTTCCAATAGCTGTCGTTACAATATGACGCCACTCTACTTTTTTCCTGAATATTGTTCAAAATTAGTTTTAAGTTTTACTATGGCTTGTTTGGTAATTTGCAAATTAATTTTACTGGAGTCATAAAAAGTACCGAACTTGGTTACAGTTTCTAATGCATGAGTTATTAAGAAATGATATTACATGTACTAATACATATATTAGATAAAACTTCAGTTTATTTTTGAAATTGATGTAATATTTTATATCATTTCAAAACTTGGATTTGATGGTTCTCAACACATGTCATTTTATCTGTTTACATAAGAAAGACTTAAAAAAATATCTTATATATTTTATATTATCTCTTATAAATATCTAATAACAATATCTATGTAGTGTCGATGTGCAACAAACATACATAATATTTTT